GCCCACACGTGCCCGACAGCCCGCCCCGCCCGGGAATGCCGCTGCCCGCCTTTCGCCGATCTGGTGTAGTCAAACCGTGGCCCTCGAAAAATTGCCGACCCCTCCTCCTCCTCCTCCTCCTCCTCCTCCTCCTCCTCCTCCTCCTCCTCCTCCTCCTCTGACGTCCCCCCTCAGGTCGGCAGCATCGTGAAGCCTTCCCCGAGGCCAGCCGTCGTCCTGGGCCCGTGTGTTTGACAGCCCCTGGGCCCGCGAGCGGCTCCCTGGAGGCCGCCAACGAGGAACGAAACGCTCGTCGACGACAGCGCACATCTCTGGAGACGTCGGCTCCTCCCGTGGCGCGAGGAGCGGTTCCGGCTGGTGGTGTGGGCGTACGGCGAGGCGATGGCGGGCGCGCCCCTGGGAGGGCCGGCCCGGCGCCGGGCCGCGGGGTACGACGACGGCTTCGTGGCGGCGTGGGAGGACAGGTGGCGGGAGGAGCAGCAGCAGGAGCCTCGGCAACGGGCTTCAGCAAAAGAGTTCGTGCTGTTTGATCGACGTCACCCCAACATGATCATACTATAGGTGCGTCGCCCCCCCATGGGCGACGCGCTCACCGAGAAATCTTATAGTCTATGAGTCGTGGCGGGCGCTTTCTGGTCACGCCGCTCGGGAAGCGATATACTACAAGATGGGTATACTATACGTTCGGTTCGGACGCGCGCCGCCAAGGAGGACATATAGTATTAGTATGTCTCTGTGCGTCCCACTTGATGCTGATGGTCCTCGGTGCGCGGTCCTCGACCCCGGCGTGCTCGGTCCTCGGTCCTCGCTGCTCGCTCCTCGGTGCTCGAGGCGCGGACCTCGGGGTCCTCGAGCCCCCGCGCGCCGTGGTCAGGAAGATCACACGGCAGGGGGGGCTTCTGCTGCTCTTCGGCCTCCAGGGGGCCCGTTTGCCCGCGCCCTGGCGGGCCCCCAATAAACATCAGGGATGCGAAAATGGTCCCGGGAGAGCACATCGGTCGTTGAACGTAGGTACGTCTGGATTCCCAGATCCTCACATACTTTAGGCACCTTCCTCTGCTTCGATGGTCGAATGGTGCCCCATCTTCCCTTCTTTTCGGGGCGCGGGCGAACACCCATTCGACGTTCAACGCCTTCCTACTTCACATTTCTACCCACTTTTCCCCGACCGATGGGATCTCTGGGGCCCATGTTGCGAAAACAAACCTTGGAAAGCAGCGTGGTGATCTTATAGTGGCATCCTTTTGCGGCTCGTTCGAAGGAGATGAAGGATGAGGATGTTGATGGTGATAACACGAGGAAGAGCAGCAGGGAAGGAGGGCGAGTAGAAAGAATGTAAATTCTGCCGTACGTGCCCCCACTCAGTTTCAGATAAACCCAAAGAGAGGACCGGGAGGATGGGAAGGAAAAGGAGGAGTGCGAAGAGGACAATGGAGAGGAGGACGAGGAGAAGGAAAATTAAGCTGGGATGAGAAGTAGGGTGGAGGAGAATAAGGAGGATGAGGATGATGAGGAGGAGGATGAGTAGGAACGGAATACGAATTCTACCGAACGCGCCCCCACTCATCTTCTGGTAAACTGGTGGCCATATGGCATGTGCATGCGCAATCATTTTGAATTGTTGTTTGTCAGGGATTGTCGGCCTGCGCCCATTGGACAATATGCCGACCCCTCCGCTGTCCCTTTCAAGCAATAAAAATAACAAAACAACGTGATCGCTGTAAGCCCGAGAATGGTTCATTATGTTCTCACTAACTGTAGCCCGTATTGTTGCTGTATGTTTTCGACAGGGATGGTGTGGGGGGGCATGGATTCGGCTCGGCGGCCAGTCGAGTGGGGAAGGGGTGATGATTAATGGAGTGCAGAGATAAACCCCTCCCCGAAGAGCAAGGAAGGGATTGGAATGACGAACTCGCTGAACCACCTACGCCCGGAGGGCCGGACGGACTCGACTTCGGGACTTTGGGAGCTCACAAGATTTGAGGCTGCGCAAGCCTCCCGAGGAAGCCCCAGCTGGTTCCAACCGGCCCCCAAGGGTTGCCCAGGGCGGTTTCCACACCCCGGCGCCGCCGCCAGCGGCGCCCTTTAGGGCGCCCCGAGGTTGTGGTGCTGAGACCTCCCCAGGCTACCTTGGGAGCCTCGTGGGGGCCAGCCTGGGCTTCCTCCTCGGGCTGTCTGTATAAACCTCAAAGCCCTGCCAGCAGGAGCTGGGCGTGTACCATTCCTTCGAGGAGATAGAGCGCCAGACCGACGACGACGGCTGGGGCGACCGCGAGCCGTTACAGAACTTCTTCGTGTGGAAGCACGACGCCGCCGTCTTCGGCGGAGTTGTCGAAGGGGACGTGGCCATCTACCGCCTGAGCCACAACATCGATGGGCGGTACTGGGGAGTCGGGGTGGTTCTGGCAATCCAGGCGACATACACTGTTCACGGCCCGAACGGCATCGTCTTCCTGCAGCCACTGATGAGGGAGTCCTCAGGGGGTGAAGGGTGGGAACGGCGTCTTGTGGAGGACTCGTGGGCTGAGGTGGCGTCTGTCAGGGTGCTCGACCGTCTCGAGGTGCTCGGCTCTGACGCGACGCGCTGCGAGGATGGATCTATTGCCATCGATGGACGGAGCTATCATCGCGTGTTCGAGTCGGGCATGGTGCACGTCCAGGACTACTGACCGAGCCGGCCTACGTCGCCCATGGTGGCGACTTCTTGCCAGCGGAGGGGGGCGCACGAGCCAGGTCTGGGCCGATTGACTCCTGGTGCGCCTCGCTGACCGACGCAGCGCCGTGGGCGACGAGCTCGGGAGGGGGTGACGGCAGCCCACAGCCAGCGACCGAGCAGCCCGCATTCACGAGTGGAAGAGAGAAAGCGCGCCCCTCCTGCAGGGGCCGCGCAAGACGAGCAAGATCCATGGCCGAGCGGCCAACCTGGGGCGCCGAGGGCACCAGGAGCAGTTGATGGCCGAGGACTCGCTCATGGGCCGACGCGGGCTAGGGCTTCGCGTACAATTCGCAACTTGTCGAGTCACGTTGTGCTTGGAAGCCGTTCTGACGCCTGCTGCACATATTGCCACCGCTATGGATGGGCTCGAGCAGCAGTAGCTTCATAGGACTGGCGTTTGCTGAAACTCGATGTCCAGAGCGCGCGTGTCTTTAGCTGGTTTTGCACCTGCTATGTACCTCTCCGAGGAATAGCTGCGCACTGAGCACCCTTGCCCGTAGCCTGTGCCGAGACGTCTTTCACGGAGCTAGCTTCTGAACTCCGGGCTTGCGGCTCGCGGTTGAGTTGGCGCGTCGAATGCGCTCGGCTCTCGGCTGCAGTGGCGACCTGGGAGTATTGTGCAAGGCGGGACAGAATTTTCTTGCCCTCCCTCCACCTCGCGCTCCATCTCGCGCTCCCCAGTCCGTCTCTCATCCACCTCCCCGCTCTTCACCCACTGTTCCGCTAGCCTCGCAATCGCTCCCCCCCAGACCCCAAACGCATGGAATAGCAAGACGGAGGTCGTTCCTCTCCCTCGTGTTCGGCCTCTGAGGGCCCTCGGCGGGCCCCGGGACCGTCGAACAACGACTCGGGTTGAAAAGCCGGCCCTGGATACGGGGTTTGGACTTCCGGGGACCTTGTGTTGCAAAAGCAAAACGTCGGATCTTTGGGCCTCGCCTTTCCCCTCCACCCCTGCCTGCCCGTTCCCTCCGCATCTCCCCTGCTCTACTCAGGCCCCATCCTACATACGCAGCTCTGTGCCCCCAGGTCGCCATCGGTGTCCACGGCCCGCTTTCCCAGCGTTCGCTTCTTCCCCGGCGCCGCACCGAATGAAGGCGCTGATCGGGAGGCCAGGCCACAAGGTGCCACGAGGCGTGCCCGTTACGCCGTGTGTGCACGTGGGCGCATCTTGCCGCTTGCTCGGGGCAGGCTTTGTCGAGCACTGGACACGCTTCCGTTGTACGGTAGGTGTGTGGCGTGCGTTCGCGGATGCCCACTACAGCAGCAGCAAAACGAAGGCTGTGTCGCGTGTCGCAGGCAGACGCCAAAGTGTGCCATGCGTTCGAGTCTCATGCTTGTATAACGCGCGCCCTGCAGAGGGCATGCCCCAGAACAGAAGGGGCCACTGATGGATCCCTCGCCTATCCTTGACAGCAGACCAAAGGAACTTGCAGAGGCGAGTGGGTCCGCGCATATGATCTACGCCAGGGAAACAGCCACTTGGGTGGGGTTGCTTCCAATCGCAGGGGCGTGGGCGATCACAGTGCAACCTTGTCCGAGTGAGGCAGCGCGTGTTACTGGTTGGGGTAACCGTGCAGTCCAAGCGTCCATGCACAGAGGAGCCTGATGGGATCATGTCGAGTATGTTTGGACACTGCAGCCGCGCGATCTGGTACTATCGAGTCGCTACGAGATCCCAGCACAGCCCAGCGAACACATAATCCGTTGCGGCAGTGAGCTTGGAGTCGTTACAATCTTGTGCCTCGACCAATAAGATGCAACAAAGACGTCTGGAAGATCAGAAGGTCGCACACATTTGAACGAAATGTCCGACTGAAGCAGAGCATAAGAGCGCACACAGATCGCCGAGCATACAGGTTGCACGTGCACACGAGTCGACTCACTCAGTAGATTTGATGTGCGGTCTGATTATCTGTCGCCAGACAGGTCTGGGGTTGCGAAAGAAGTTCGGGCGAGGGGACGGGATGGAAGGAGAAGCCAGGGACGGGAGGGGAAGGAAGGCAGGGAGGCAGGAAGGGGCGACACTAGTGGGCGGGGGGGGGGACAGGGGGCAGATTGGATGGAGGAGTGTTCTAGTGAGGGGTTGCGCGGGTAAGGACACTGGGGTGGACGTCCGCGACCGAGTAGTTAGTAACAGGTTCCCCCGAGCGGGCCCAAGAATTCTGGAGAGGCTCCGGGGGTTCCCAGGAGGGCCGCGGGAGGGTGCCACGAGCGCTGCTCCGTTGGGGCCCTCCCGCGGACCTCCTGGGACCATCCCTCGCGGGCATCGGGGCGGGCCTCCAGGCCCGGGCCTGCAGCGGAACCGCACACCCGGCACGCTGGCCTGACGCCTCGGCCTGCGCGCTGGGGGCCGCCGAGGCCTCTGGCCGGCACGGCCGGCGCGCCGCTCGCGGCGCCGGCCTCGCCCGCCGCTGCTCGCGCTCCCTCGCAGCGGCTGCTCGCGCCCCTCCGATGTCGGCGCCCGCGCCCTTCTCTCCTCCTCCTCCTCCTCCTCCTCCTCCTCCTCCTCCGTCCTCCTCCTCCCTCCTCCTCCGTCCTCCTCCTCCTCCTCCTCCTCCTCCTCCTCCTCCTCCTCCTCCTCCTCCTCCCTTCTCCCTCCTCCTCCTCCCCCCAGGGCGCCTTCGGGGTCGTGCACCGGGTGCAGGACAAGAACACGGGGCAGTGCCGGGTCATGAAGACCGTCATGCGGCCGCAGGGACGCCACGGGGAGGTCTCAAAGAAGGGGGCTATAGACAGAAACTTCCAGAGGTCCGCGCGGATGTTTTGGATCGGCGTTGGAACCTTCCTGGCGCCGTCTCCGGCGCCGCCTCCGGCGCCGCCCGCCCCTGGCGCGCGCCAGGGAAAGGGGTCCAGCGCAGATCCAGGAAATCGGCACGGACCTCCGAAAGTTCATGTTTATCGCGCGGTTATTATTGCTCCTCCTGGGAGCTGCCCACAGCGCCGAGAGTGGCGTTCGGAGGGCGGCGTGGCAACGAGGCGGCGGTAGCCCACACAGGAGCAGCAGCAGCAGCAGCAGCAGCAGCAGCAGCAGCAGGGGCGAGGACAGGGAGGGCCAGCCTGCTTGGCCCTAGGAAGTCTCCTTGGGCTCCGCCATGTGGGCGGTCTGGGGGGATGTCTACAGTCAACCCGAACAGTAAGGATGGGCAACCTTCCCAAGGGTAACCTTGCATTATTGCTTCCTCGGTCCATCCTTGGCCACTTTCGTTGGCCGCGCCCCGCTCGACAAGCTTCGACTTGGGCGTCCAAGGCCCTTGCATCCTCATCGCGCATCTTAATGATACGGGCCGACTGTGGGAACATCTGTGGTTCTCTTGGGTCTGCCTGGAAAAGTCCTTGGGCCGTCTCGAAGTTGTGTCGGGCTAAACCGAACGGTGACGTCATGGGGGGCTCTCGTGCATCCAGGGTGCCGCTTTGGGCTGGTAGATTGGGCGCTGTTCTGGCCGATTTGGAAGACGTTTAGAGCTTCTTGGGAGCCGCGTGCCAGGGTGCTTGCAAGTTTGTCTGGAAATCTTATCGTGCAGCCCCTTGTGGCGAGAAACGGGCGCGCTTGAAAACATGACCAGGACAGTGTGTTCCGATGCTACTTGCCTCTGACCATGAGGGCATATCGGAAAATGATTGGATATGTAGCATTTTGGTGACGGGCGCTAGCAGGAGCAATTAAAGCAATCTTGCGGTATCAAGGGGCGTCTGCGAGTATAGTGGGGCCGTCATGAACACGGTATGGGTCCTCTTTTGTCGCCGCCCAGTGTGTTGGGAAGGAGCCATGGGGACAATCGACAAACGCGTCTCGCTGATATCAAGGTGGGGTAACCTCATAATAATGTAGAGGTGTTAGCCAGAGTGGGCCCAAACAGCGTATTTATAGCAATACACGTGTTGTGCATTCCATGTTGTGCAATTGGTGTGTTGCAATATATGTGGTGTGCCATCTATGTGGTGTGCAAGATATGATGTGCAATACATGTTGAACAATAGATGTGATGCAATATATGTGGCGCATCCTATGGTGTGCGACCCATGCGGTGCACATTATAAGTTGTGCAGCCGATGCGGTACAGTACATGTGGTGCAATAAGTGTGGTATTCATGGTGTGCAAAAACAAGTAGTCCAGTCTATGCTGTGCAGCCGATGTGGTGCAGTCTATGTGGTGCAAGCTATGGTGTACAATCTATGTGGTGCGTAATCTTTGTTGTGCAATGTATGCGGAGCACTCTGTGTGGTGCAATCTAGGTGCTGCGCGGTATAGGTTACACGGTCTTTGTGGAGCGGCGACGGCGAGCACGGAGCCGCCAGACCTGCAATCAGGCCCAGACGACGGGTGGCGACGGGGCGGCGACGGGGCAGAGGCGTCGATCACGGAGCTTCCAGGCCGACAGTCAGAGCCAGTTCCCCAGAAGAGAAATGAGAACCCTCAAGTGCAAGCATTGTTTGGGGAATCTGCATGAACGCAGCCAACCAGCATAGGCGCATTCATGTGCACCCCTCCACTGCGCGGCGACAGTTGCGAGTCGATTCCGTGATTGGAAGTAGCACGTACTGACATTCTACTGTATCTTTACGATGTCCCAGAAGATTCGCAGCCTGGTGGCATTGGCCAACCTGTCAATATCGAGCACTCGTGCTTGCCGAGTATGGCCGTCACATGTCTCGCCTCTTCTGTTCGTGCTGTGTGTTTGTAATATCGTGGAGCGTTTGGGCCTCGGCGGGCGTTCGCATGCGGCACGTTTCTTTCCTATTTCAGACTTCAGACCACGGTTCGCTGCACGAGCTCGCATATCGCAGATCAGCGCGTGTGGAGTTCCCAGTTTGCCTGGCGACAGTTTGATTCGCACAGCGGTCGAGGCTAAGTCGTGTGAAGTTCCGTGGTCGAACCGAAGTAAGGCTACCACGCTGGCCATCTGCAATATCTGATTATTGCAACCATTAGCGCCTTCCGGAATTGTCCATGTTCGGTCGACATCTCCCAAACGCATTCACAACACTTCTGCCAGCACTACGGGAACCATGAGTCGCTGACAGCGGCCGGCCCCAGCATCTAATGCTGCACCCGTGTGTACTGTAAGCGGCGCAAGGCGCACATCGCAAGGACCATAGATGTTGCTTGGCAAAACGGTCGTGTTGTGGGGAGAAGCACGTTGCCGTGCGGGGCACCTCATCACTACGCTTCAGCGGGAGGGCAAAGTTTTGGGGTATACTAGGGGCCGCAGCTAATTGGCAAAAGCTTTATCACTGGTTGCCTCCACAGCGGGGCCGCAGTGGAGCTCTATACGGCATCGTTGGAAAAGGGATTGGGTCGATTGTCGTTACCTTCTCTGGTTTGGACGCCTACATCTCATGGAATAGCGCCAAGATTGCATCGCCGTGCCGCATTTTTCTAGTCCGAACAGTTGTTGTTCTGAAATGCTTGCAGCGCGTACGTCAAGTTGTGCTTCAGTGGTCTGCAAGGATCCGCTCGATCATTCGCAGGAGCGAGCGGTCTCGCGCTGGAACAGGTGGGTGTGACGGCGTTGTCTTGTGGTGCCGCCAGTGGTCGCACTAGATATTTGGAGGGCTTGGTCGACTGAGAGCATGTGCGTGTGCGGAACGGTTTCGACTCGAGAAGTCTACTTGTGCAAGTCACGGATTCAACCATCCCGCTATTTGTTTGTTGTTTCTTTGCTGTTTGGATGAGATGCCACGCTAGGCGGGGAGGACATCGGGCAGATGTGCTCGAGCTTCGTGAGGGCTCGGCATTCGTTGGTGGCTTGAGTGCGCCGCTGCTGCTTGTGTAGCGGCACGTGCTGCCAGTTAAGCACAGAACGCCGCAATCAACAAGGGAGAACAGGACAGAGGGAGGGGTGAGGAGAGCGGGGACGAGGACCAATGACGAGGGGGTCGAGGCATGTACGCCACGGGTAGCAGAGCGACGACAATGGAGATGGGAGCGAGGGCGGAGACGAGGGGGCCCAGAGCGAGATTCGGGGCAGAAGTCCCTCCCCGCGCAGGATGGGACAACGAGCGCATGAAGCTCGAGGCCGGCTTCTACCGTGCCTCGTTGGCGGCTGCTGCGTGTGCTCTCGCCTCCCTTTCGAGCCGCGCCTCCCTGCCTGCCCGGCGGCCCAGGCGTGACGCTCCAATGGCTGGCAGGGGCCCGGTCGCGCCTCTCGACGGCCCTTCGCGGAGCAGCGCACCGTCGGGGCGCTGAAGGAGGAGCCCTTTTCGTTGGGGAGGGGCTCCGTGTTCCTTATGTTTCCGATGGGATTTCGGAGTTCAACTTATAGAAAACATGGGCCTCGTTCCTTATTTCGGGTTCCTTAGGTCAGCGCCCCGACTGTACCTGTCTACCCGATTGACCTGCCCCCACCCAGCTCATCCAGAGGCCAGACCCACGCCGCAGCTTGAGGGGGGCTAGCAGGGTCTTCTGTGATGGCCTTCGGGGACCGTGTGCGGTGGCCCTGTCTGCGCAGCACACTTCCCCAGTGCACCCTTCCTCGCAGACGCGACGACCCGTGAGAGAACGTAGAGAGTTAACGCACCTCCACGGAAGTGGCAGGCTGGGGAGAGGCAGGGAGGCAGTAAGAACAAGGGGAGTTCGAAAGGAGGAGAGGAGGGGGATGAGAGAAAGGAGGGGAGGGGGCATAAGAAGCGGAGGGGACGGTGGACGAGGAGGAGGAATTGGAGGCGCGCAGCTACGTGCGAGGAGGGGAAAAAAGAGGAGGAGGTGGCCATATGCAGATGCGTATATATATATACATATATGTATGTATGTATGTATGTATGTATGTATGTATGTATGTATGTATGTATGTATGTATGGATGGATGGATGGATGGATGGATGGATGGATGGATGGATGGATGGATGGATGGATGGATGGATGTATGTATGTATGTAAGTATGTGTGTGTATGTATGTGTGTATGTATGTATGTATGTATGTATGTATGTATGTATGTATGTATGTATATATATATATATACATACATATATTCCCTTTCACATACTTTTACAATCCGGGCAGAACGCGAAACGGGTAACCACCCCAAAAAAACCGGACTCCCGGGATCTGGGGCTTTGGGACCCTCTGGACCCTCGAAGCGGCCCCCCGGGCCTCGCAGGGCGTTTTGCCAAGCCTTCCCAGCACACCTAAGGCGATCAGGGAGGTCGTCGGAGACGTCCCAAAGACCCCCAAGACAGCACAAGAGCGCTCCAAGAGTGACCGACGTGACCTCCAGATGGCCCAAGAGGCCTCCAGGACGGTCCCAAAGAGGCCTCCAAGAGCACTCCCAAGAAGGCCCCAAGAGGCAAAAATCATTGATTTTCTATTGGTGTTTGGTGAATTTGGGGGTTATCCTTTTCGGCTTCCCGACGCTCCAAGACGGCGGTCTTCTGGGCGTCCGAAGCCGCCTGGGAGGCTCCCAAATCGCCCCACAACCATCCGGAAGGGCTTCCGGGCAGTCCAAGGGAGCCCCAAAACGGCACAATACGGGTCCAAGATGGCCCTCAGAGAACCCCATGGCGACCCAAGATAGCCCCAAGACACCCTCCGAAGCATTCCAAATCGTGACTTTGTCGTTCAGGGAGACCGCGGTTGGAGGCAGCGTGGCCCGAGGAAGCCCCCAGAGGCCCCCAGAATACGCCCAGGAGGCCTCCAGAAGGCCTTAAGAAAGCCTGAAACAACTTTTGTGAGGCCCCATGAGGCTCTCCAAGGAGGAGCCTCCGCAAAAAAGAGCTGCGGAGGATGGGGAGAATGCGCAGGGTATGGCGCAAATGAAGAAAAAGAAGCATGGAGGAAGGATAACGAATACCATTCTTATAGCGGCGATGCCGGAAAAGGCAACAAGGAGTTATCGCTAAATTGTCGGCTTGACTTTCCTGCCATTCCGCCTGCATACCAAACTTCAAGGACCAAGGTGCATGGCGCGAAGCGCCAATACAGTCTTGTATATATATATATATATATATATATATATATTCCTATATTTTTATATGCCCGGGCGGGGGGACAACCCGGTCCCCTCCCCCCCCCCAATACCAAACTCCCGGGAGCTGGGGCTTTGGGACCCTCCAGACGGGCCTCGAAGCGGCCCCCCCTTGCCTCGCAGGACGTTTTGCCAAGCCTTCCCAGCACACCTAGGGCGATCAGGCGGGTCATCGGAGACGTCTCAGAGACCCCCATGACAGCGCAAGAGCGCTCCAAGAGTGACCGACGTGACCTCAAGATGGCCCAAGAGGCCTCCAGGACGGCCCCAAAGAGGCCTCCAAGAGCACTCCCAAGAGGCAAAAATCATGGATTTTCTGTTAGTTTTCAATGAATTTGGGGGTTATCCTCTTTTCGGCTTCCCGACGCTCCAAGACGGCGGTCTTCTGGGCGTCCGAAGCCGCCTGGGAGGTTCCCAAATCGCCCCACAACCATCCGAAAGGGCTTCCGGGCAGTCCAAGAGAGCCCCAAAACGACACAACACGGGTCCAAGATGGCCCTCAGAGAACCCCATGGCGGCCCAAGATGGCCCCAAGACACCTTCCGAAGCATTCCAAATCGTGACCCGGTCGTTCAGGGAAACCGTGGTTGGAGGCAGGGTGGCCCGAGGAAGCCCCCAGAGGCCCCCAGAATACGCCCAGGAGGCCTCCAGAAGGCCTTAAGAAAGCCTGAAACAACTTTTGTGAGGCCCCATGAGGCTCTCCAAGGAGGAGCCTCCGCAAAAAAGAGCTGCGGAGGATGGGGAGAATGCGCAGGGTATGGCGCAAATGAAGAAAAAGAAGCATGGCGGAAGGATAACGAATACCATTCTTATAGCGGCGATGCCGGAAAAGGCAACAAGGAGTTATCGCTAAATTGTCGGCTTGACTTTCCTGCCATTCCGCCTGCACACCAAACTTCAAGGACCAAGGTGCATGGCGCGAAGCGCCACTGCAGTCTTGTATATATATATATATAAACATATATATATATTGTATCGTCTCCCTCCTCCTCCTTTCTCGACTGTTATGACGTGGTCTCGTCTGGCCGGATCTTGTGTGATCTGGTGTGGTCTAGAGCCAGGAGCAGTAGCGACCGACGACGTGAAGAAACCAGCGTGGCGCACGGGCCTCTTGTGGAGTCCTTGTGGATCTGGCGCTCGCTCAGGGACTTCTCAAGATCGTTCAGAGCGGGCCGTTGGGGGGGGCCCTCCTACCAGGAGGAGGAAAAGATGCCGATACCGCTGCTCGTCCTGGCGAGCCTTCGTCGCCACGGCTGGTTTCGCTTCGAAATTCTGGTAAGAGTGCGCCCCTGGAGAGGTCCAGGGCGTAGCGGCATCGGTACTGTTTTGTGCCTCCCCACCTGCGCCCCCTTGCAGAGCCCTCTTTTAGACCATCTTGGGAGGTCTCTTCGCCTGGTGAGGTGGGCTAAACAGCAGCCTCGCCTCTTTCAGGGATCAGTACGCTGTAGACGAGGGGTCAGTCTTAACGGGGAGGTCCGTTTGACCGCAAGATCTCGCAAGTTCTTGCGCCTGTCCACCCAGTTTGGAGTGCCGCTCCAGCCCACACTGCGCCCTTCATGGTGATTGACTTCGCCTTAGAGACAGCGCCTTCGCACAAGCATCAGATCTGGAGGAGGAGCTGGAGGAGGCGGAGGCGGAGTCTGAGGAGAAGCACGCCCATTCTCGCCCCCACAATACAACAACAAGCAGCAGAAGAAGAACACGAAGAGGAAGGAGCAGAAGCAGCAGAAACAACAGCCCACCCCTGCTGGACCTGCGAGGCCCAGATCTTGCAGAACCTAGACCATCCCCACATCCTGCGCATCTTTCAGTGGTATGAGGAGCCGCCGCAGCCGCTGCTGTTCCTTCGTCCTCCTCATCATCATCATCGTCATCGTCATCCCACCTCGTCCTCCTTCCTCCCCCCACCCTCGTCCACGCTCCCCCTCCCTCGTCCTCCCGCCCCTGATCCTCATCCCCCCACTAGCTCATCGTCTTGAGCGCTGGGTGCGTCCACCGCGGAGCAACGGCCTGACCAGAATGCGCCCTTTAGACCCTCCCTTGGCGCATCGTCGTGCTTTTCCTCCTCGCCATCCTCCCCCACATCATCATGCTTATCAACCTCCGCGAGGAAGATTGTCAACCTCCGAGCCACCAATCAAAGTCTCTGGGACCGCCTCGGCGCCGTTCTTGTCCTCTTCGTCCTCCCTCCCCTCCCCCATCTTGCCCTCATCCGCACTCAGCAGGATGCTACTGTAGGCTGCGTCGTGCGGCGCCGCCTTGTCTGTGGCAGGGTGATGGTGGAGGTTGGCTGGCCACTCTCTAAGAATGTCACATGTGCGTGTGGGTGTGCAGCGACATTTGGTCGCCGGGTGCGTGCTGAACACATTGTACGTTGTGTCGTTGCACCTGTTCTTCTGCAAGGGCGTGGGCCTTTGGGCCGAGCGCGAAATGGCGTGCTCTCTATTTCTCCCCCCCCCCGCGTCCTCGCACTTCGGTGGCATGGGTGGGCTACGAGGACACCTGTTCTCGTCTTCTGGAATGGGCAGCAGAGGAGCTCTCGACTATGCCTAGCCGTGTCACCCCAGTTGTCTGTGTTAATGTGAACGACGGTGCGGGGCGCCATCAGGTCAAAAATGAAGAATGAATGGGTCTATGACCAGTTGGGGACGGTTCCAGACAAGAATGCCATCAAGATCTTCGGAATGTGATTTCGTTTATCGCAGTTGCTTGCCCTGCGCGATTTGCAGCTTGCCAACGCATACAAAGGTGTCGCTCCGGCTCCCTTTGGCCACCATTGTTCCGCAGCTTTACCGACATGGAGGCGCTGCCGAGTACACTCTTCCCGGTGCTGAAGAGTGCTGGCCCGCTGCATCGTCCCAGCCGCTCGTGACTGATTGTGCGACGGCGGCCCATATGTATCCTCTTCTGGTGCACGCTGCTGTTCCTTATGTGTTGGCACCTGGAGCAACAATCGACCAATGCAAGCCCGGGCGGGCTGGGATTCTGACTATCTGAGATTAGCGGTGCGTCGTGGCTCACAGCGTCGAGAGTCCGTGGAGGCCGTCGAGACACGTATCGAACAACATGCCGCGTTTCTCGATCGTTTTGGCAACATGCTTACTGCCGATGGCAGCGTCCACGATATGAATGGCGTCCCCATCTCTATTGGCTAGTCAGCCTCAGCACGTGGTAAAATTCACCCTGTGCGTGCCCCCGCGGCCGAGAGACCCGAGCTGCTGGGAACGCGTCGTTGCATCCGCCACGAAGTAGCTGGCTCTGTCACAGAGGAGGTGAAGGAGGAGGAGGAGGAGCAGCAGCAGCAGGAGGCCCAGGTTGTTGCTAGATTTCAGGGGGGTGCTCGTGAAAGCGCTCTTTATCGTCGTCGCCAACGGGAGGAGCGACAACAGGAGGTGGTATACGAGTTCAATGAGATGTGGAGGCATCGGCGGCTGGCGGAGGTAGCGCGACTGGCGCGCCTAGCGTCGGGTATTCTATTCGGGCCCACAACAATTTGAAAATCTCGGTGGTCGGGTGTTGGTGGAATCGTCTAATCATGTCTTGTACCTTATAGGGGCAGTTCTGCAGAGCCGCAGCCGATGGAGGCATGGGGGCGGAGGAGGTGGAAAATTGGGACGAGTGCCGCGGTGCACGTGTGCATGTTGCGCTTGTATTCGGGATACAAGTTGCGAAGAGAAGCGGAATGCGTATCAGGATGTTGTAGACACGTTGCGGAAGCTTCTTCGTGTTGGCAAGCGTGGTACGGTACCAGGGTGCCCCCCATTGGAGCTCTGGTGGCTCTTGTTGCATGCCCGACAGCGGCTCAGCACACCAGGGCGTTGTCCAGGTAACCAAGTGCGCCCCCCTCTCCCTGACGGCTTCTGGAAGGTCTTTAGGACGAGGCTTCAAAGAATTCGCGGCTGTCGTGCTACGCCTCTTTGCTAGCACCGAAGTCGCGGAACCCCTTTGCTCCGTAACGATCATCGTGCTCGGCGGATCCACCTCTTGGAACCGATATGCAAATAGCGGATGTCTGGTTTGATGTTTCAGACGGGCCCATGGCAGCACGTTCATGCTGATCATGGGTTCGTTCGACGTCACAGGCGCGAAGAAGCCCTCCTCGTGCAAAACACTGCTGGCGTTCACCTTCGGCGTTCAGGAGCGTCTCGCATCACCAATTGTCACGACCTGGCAGCAGCACTCTCGTGATGCAGCTGGCCGTGCATGCGTGCCGCCATGCATGGCACGCTTCCGCCTGACTCTGAGTCGTTTGGTCGTCAGCGCTATCAGCGAGCTACTGTTACTCCTGCGGGGCGTGATCGAGATATCGCGCTCTGACCTGGATGCGGAGGACTGATGGGGGGATGCGTTCGCCGTTCGCAGCTTCGTACGCGTGCTCGACCCCGTCGTCTGCGCGTGTCACGAGCAGCAGATGAGGTGGGATCCAATGCTCGGTCAGCTCGTCGTTCGCTCGCCGCTTAGAGGGGACGAGGTGGACCTTTCACTTACCAGGTACGCCGACGACCTTACCGCGAAGGTTTTCGGTGGCGTTTCCACGTTTGCTGCCACTCCTGCCGCAACGAGTCCTTACTCCAACCAGGGTTTTGATGACTGTCTGGACCCTTCTTGGCATCGTCAGAACTTGACCAAGCGAGATGCTCGAGCTAGCTTTTCTCGGACGAGGAGCTGCTGCCGCGCATCAGATGAATCGCACGTGGAAATTCCGTTGTCCTGGGAAGCCCCTGCAGTTGGCCAAGAGTCTTGACGCTATGATAGCACCGCCGCCGCTTCGCGCAGCAACGTACGGCTGGCAGCTAGTTGGGCCTGCTTGCATGATATTGGCCTCGTTTTGGCCTCTGTCAGGTGTGCCTCGTCGTTTCCGCGGGCGCATGCTATTGTGCAGAGTGTATCATGCTGCTCTGGCCAGTCTTGCAGCTTACCTGCCGTCCGCGGCTGGCTGATCGAGGTTCACGAGTGCGGTCGCAGCTCGGGCGCGCAAGTCGCGCGAGGCGCTGCCTTCGATCGCGACGCCGAGGGTCGCCCGCGTTCGCTCACAGGGGCTGAGGATAGGCTCGCACTTGGAGGCTCGCATTCTTCGTTTGCGTCTGCTTCAAGGACTCAGAGGGCACCAGAGCGGTGACACAAGAGTCTTGGGGGCCGTCTTGGTCGCATATGGCGGAGGCTTCAAAGGTTCCTGCCATAGCGTGGTCCCCCTTCCTGGTCGCCTGGCTGCCGAGGCACATCCCTGGGCGCGGAGGTCCCGGGAAGATGTCGAGTCCTTGCGCGTTGTGGTCGAGGGGGGGGGGCATGTTAGATGATTTATATGGGCGCTCTCTTATACTGTTCCAGGATGAGGAGGCGCAGGCTGATTTCTCACGTACAGATACGTGGCAACTACGGAGCAGATGTCGGTTTCGACCGCGCCGTCGAAGTCTTGGGCCCCCAAGGGTAGGCATCCCCAGATACCAGACAGCGCAGAAGTGTACATCCACTTGCTGACTTCCGGCTCGCAGGCATTCACCATTGTCAGCTCGTGCGTGAGGAGGGCACAGTACGCACTTCGATTCTTCCCGATCGGCGAGCTGTTCGCACCCGCATCCTAGCAGGGCGCGGTCGTCGCACGGTCGCTCACATCTGTGCCAGCAGTAGCAAGCGCCCTGTGTGTCACGCAAGCTCGATTCCGTTTCCAGGGCATGCGCCGTCGGCATCTCGTGCTGTCCCGAGCTCCGCTCGCGGCCCCTTCCAACGCTGCAGCGTCCGTTAGGTGCAAGGTGGCGACGGGCGCGGCAGCTTCTGTTCTCGCGCCGACCCCCCTGCCCACCGCCCGCTCCATCTCTTTCAGGAGGGGAGAAAACACACAGACACAATTAATCGTCGATTCCCAGGAAAATATTGGAAAATATGGGAAGTGGGGGGAAGACAAAATCCTAGAAAATACGGGACAATATGGTGAATCTTTTTATTTGTGTGTATTTATTTGTGTGTCCTGGGGCCCCTTCACTCTTCCCCGCGACGGAGGGCGCCCCCGCCGGGGCGGCGAGGGCGGCGGCGGCGAGCGCAGGAGCGCGGAGAGGCCCCCCCGCTCGCAAAAGAGGCCGCGCTCGTCGTGGCCGAGGCTCGCGGCAGGGGCTCGCGGCGCTCCTCGGCGGCTGGCGGAGACCCCCGAGAGAGGGCGAGCCTGGCCAGCGGCGCCGAGCTGCGCGACGCGCGCGGCGTCGCGCGCATCGACGTTCCCGAGCAGGCCGGGCAGCGCCTGCCGCTCCGAGGCAAACGCAAAAAAAACAATTGGCCTGGCGAAGGACCCAACCATATGCAGTTGTGAGTAATGCTGGTGTGAGTACCGTCTTCGGTGGATCTCCCTATGGGGCCACGAAACGTGTGAGGGGTGTGCCGAAATGGGTGTGGGGGCATGCGAACGTTGCCACTGGGGCCTTCGGTGGAGCTCCTTATGGGGCCACGAAACGTGTGGGGGGTGCACCGAAGTTGGTGCGGGGGCGGCATGCGGACGCAGCCACTGGGGCCTTCGGTGGAGCTCCCTGTGGGGCCACGAAACGTGTGAGGGGTGTGCCGAAATTGGTGCGGGGGCGGCATGCGGACCCTGCCACTGGGGCCTTCGGTGGAGCTCCCTATGGTGCCACGAAACGTGTGAGGGGTGTGCCGAAATTGGTGTGGGGGCGCATGCGAACCCAGTCACTGGGGCCTTCAGTGGAGCTCCCCATGGGGCCACGAAACGTGTGAGGGGTGTGCCGAAATGGGTGGTGGGGAGGCATGCGAACCAGGCCACTGGGGCCTTCGGTGGAGCTCCCTATGGGGCCACGAAACGTGTGAGGGGTGTGCCGAA